CCCCCTCCCTCCCTCCACCCCCCCTCCCGCCCGCCTCCCTCCCTGCCCTGCCCTCCCTGCCCCCTCCCTCCCTCCCCCCCCCCCTCCCCCCCCTACCCCCTCCCTCCCTGCCCACCCCCCTCCTGCTCCCCCCCCCCCTCCCTGCCCCCCTCCCTCCCTTCCCTCCCTACCTCCCTCCCTCCCTGCCCGCCTGCCCTCCCTCCCCCCCCCCCCCCCCTCCCTCCCTGCCCGCCTGCCCTGCCCTCCCTTCCTCCCTCCCTGCCCGCCTGCCCTCCCTCCCTGCCCGCCTGCCCCTCCCTCCCTCCCCTACCCTCCCTCCCTGCCCGCCTGCCCTCCCCTCCCTCCCTACCCTCCCTCCCTGCCCGCCTGCCCTCCCTCCCTACCCTCCCTCCCTACTCTCCCTCCCTGCCCTCCTTCCCTGCTCTGCCCTCCCTCCCTGCCCTCCCTCCCTACCCGCTCTGCCCTCCCTACCCTACCCTCCCTCCCTGCCCGGCTGCCTGCCCTCCCTGCCCGCCCTCCCTGCTGCTCTCAGCCAGTCTGGCAGCTCCCGGCGCTGCACAAGCCCTTGCCATTCTCACCCTGTGCTCCTCATTTTCTCCCCCACAGCCCTCACGCAATTTCCTGTGCGTCAGTGTTTGCTTTGCGCAGCGAAACATACTTTCATTCACGAAAAAATCTCTTCTCAGTTGCACCGAAACCCCCAGAGGAGGGAGAGGGTGAGGAGGCGCCAAGTCTGCACACGCGGGGTCTGGTCTGGAACTGGGACCGTGACTTCCCCCCACTTTTTTTTTCTCTCTCTCCCGGTGATTGGCAATGCAGAGAATTCACACCATCGTCGGAGCCCAAATAATAATAATAATAATAATAATAATTCTTGCATCTGAAGATGTTTTCGTTTTTCGCGTCCAAAGTCAATGCGTTCCTTACGTTGCGGGGTTTGGAAGTGGTGCGTGGATTAAGTTTAACGGGTGGTGTTTACGGGGAAGGGGAAAATCACGCGTTACATTGGTGAATTGAGAAAGTATTTTACATGATCTCCTGCCCCAGGGGACTTGGGTGATAAAATGCACCAGAGGAAAGGTCCCTGTGAAATGTGACTGTTGTCCTCTTTAAGAATCTCTCTCCTCACTCTCCAGTGGAATCGCAGCCCAAATTTCACCTTCTAATGATTTTTTTTTGTTTAAAAAGTTGGCGATCGTTCTCCCCCCAAATTTTCACGCCTCGAGATATTTTTGCACTTTGGTGCCCAGAGTTTCACCCACAAAATGCAGTCAATTCACTTTACGCTACATTCTGCGAAGGGCTTATCGACAACATGATAAGGCAAGGATTATTATTTGTTATAACACGAGGGGGCCAGCGCAACCGAGCTCTTATCAGATTCACACACACACACACATCTTCCAACAAGAGCATCTGAATAGCAATCGGTCAGAAAGGAACCTTTCCTGATGTATCCCTCTATAATCCAAGCACACCAAAGTCATCATGTGGGCTGCTGCTGCCCTGACTGATATCAGCTCAGTGCAGGATTTGAACCTGTGACCTGCTGGTCAGCGTGGTCACACAGTACCAGATGGCGTCTTTATAGATAAAAGCTCCATTCTCTTCTTTTCAATTGAGTCATTAAATTTGGGTTCCGCCTGCCTTGAAGTCAGGTGAGAGACCTTGCTCTATTTCAAAGAAAACTGGAGTGTTCATGCATGCAATCTTGCTTTATCCAAATCCCTTCTCATCCAAATTAACGCCCAAATTGAATTAATTGCTTACATTCACCTACAAAATAGACATTACAGAAAACACTACAGAAAATTCTGTGAAGATCTTTGAAAACACTTTGACAATGTATAAGTTATATATAAATGCAAGGATTATTATTACATTCCTCATCTCATTGTTGTTTGTGGGATGTTGTAAATAAATAATCCTTGTTTTTCCAATAGCACCTTTCATATCAGGAGAATACCTCAAAGCATGTCACAGGATTTACTGTGGAGTGTATATTTTCTAGACTCAATTCATCAGCCGCATGACTGTTCCTCAAACAGCAATGAAGTGGGCTCCCGTTTTTCAGATAACGCCATGAGATCTTTAATGTCCCCCTGAACAGACAGATATGACTTTGGTTTAACATCTCATCCAAAGGAAGGCACTTCTAACAATGCAGCACTTCATTGGAGCGTTAGTCTAGAATCTCTAGACTCTAAGTTCAAAGTCCCGATGTGGGGCCTGAACCCACAACCTTCTGGCTCAGAAGTGACTGCTATCATCTGAGTCAGGCTGACACTTGTTTTGACTGTAATAGGGCAACTTAACTACCACATTTATCTCCATAACAACATTCACTTAAT